TTTTTATGTCGTTTGAGCCACGCAACAGATACAACTATTCACTGACACTTACTGTATACAAATGAATGAAATAATTCGTTCCAAATTCTTTCGCTTTTTTGTTTCCGATGCGATGAACCGATACGACGGATTATATCCGTTGTCGCCAAACACGAGCACATTGAGACAGGGCGGTACTCAAACTTCCAAAGGGCTATAACTTTGTTACTTTAATTTTACCAGAAAAATGGTAAAGGAAAAAAACATTTCTTTTGATCAGATCTACTCACTGTTAAAATAAATGACTCAACTTCGAAGTCACCCTGTATATATATAATTTTCTTATCAACATAGCCACATACTTATCGTTAAAAAGATAAACTCTTCACATACAGGGAGTTATGTGATTGCCTTTTTACACTTTATTGATTATTATATATATATATATATATATATATATATATATATACAGGGTGACTTTGAAGTTGAGTCATTAATTTTCAGATAATGATTGTAGAAGGAAGATAAACCAAAATATGTGTGTAAAAATAAAAAAAAAAAATTACCTTGTTTTATAAAGTATCCTCCCGACAAGTATTTCAGTGCGGACTAGTATTTGATCGCGAGGTCTTGGAGCACCGGCATGCCGTCTTAAGTCACCTGATTCACGAGCCCGTTGTACTACATTAACAAAGGCACGAGGGGTTGGTTGCACTCGATTGGGAAACCGATCCGCATAAACATGTGCCATTTTTTATTTCGTTTGAGCCACGCAACAGACTCCACTATTCACTGACGCGTTACCGACTGACACTGACTGTATACAACACAACTGAATAAAATAATTGTAAAAACATCGTTCCAAATTCTTTCGCTTTTTTGTTTCCGATGCGATGAACCGATGGCGGATTATATCCGTTGTTGCCAAACACGAGCACATAATATTATCATTGAGACAGGGCGGTACTCAAACTTCTAAAGGGCTATAACTTTGTTACTTTAATTTTACCAGAAAAATGGTAAAGGAAAAAACATTTCTTTTGATCAGATCTACTCACTGTTAAAATAAATGACTCAACTTGGAAGAATATATATATATATATATATATATATATATTGCATTCATTTTTGCTAGCTCACTTTTTGTTTATATTAATGATTTGATTTCCAGTCGGTCAGTTAATCTGCAAACCGAAACATACACTGTAATATCAGTTCAGTCCGTAAGCATTATTTTTGTAACCAAATAAATTAAAAAAAAAACAGGATCTAAAGTTTCGGGCTGCCCCAGTTGGGCAGCCCGCAGTTGGATTTCCAAAAGTATTTTCACCGATTGGCCTTTGAGTCCAAACTATTAATTCGGAATCACCAACCTCCAGACGAGCTGGTGAGACTGAATATAAGAATTTGGATCACAAGAGACTTTTCTTCTGTTGAAGTCGACATCCACCTGAGGAACCTAAGATAAAACGGGGATGAAGTAGTGAACCTAACAGTAAGTGCTCATTGTATTCTCATTCTTTCATGGCTTGACTCGCCCCATCCTTTCGAAAGTGTTAGTGTAGATCAAGTCGCTAATTTCTTAGCGCGCTTAGAATTAGGAACTAGAAAAATCAAACGATAGAAAAAATGGCGTCAAGTAAGTTGACTCTGTACTTCCCGCGCTACACTGTATTCAGTTCGTACATTTGGCACAAATTAGTCATTTTGAGAAAAAAGCTACGAACATGTATAACAAAAAATTAAATGACCTTCCTCCCCCTGAGAGTAATTGCTGCAGGCGCATATGATGGATTCGATGATGACCAATCCCGCATGAATGACGATATTGGCCTTCACCATGTAAAGTGCACCCAGCCCAGCCCTTAGCACCGCGAAAGCGATTGCCGACTGCGACGTACGACCACCGACGACGACGCTTGTCCATCCCGGGCACCACGTCGCACGTTCGACACCAGGCTATTTATATTCAAACGAAGAGGGTACTCCTAATCGTCATCTCGAATATAAGCGAGGGCAAATTGGTTGACATTCAAACAATACTGAGGCGGATGATGCTGAGTAAGGTACAACATGATAAAAACAAACCAAGGAATCAACAATAGGTTTCTATTAGCTGGGTTGTACATGTTGTTATGTATATTTAAAACGCTGAAAATAAGATGACTAAATACATTTACATGGAATTTGTCGCAACGCTCCCCACCATGATGGAATGCGTGAGACCTGATTTTCATTAAAATTGTAACTCTGAAATAATTAAAATTTTGGCTTCTCGCCATCATAAGAAAATACTTGATTGAGAGTGTTTTAATACAAACCTGATATAAAAAAAGTTAATATTTACGGAAATGACATGGATTAAGTGAATACGGGCCAATTTTACATGAAGATAATTTACACTGATAAGAATAATGAATCCTTAAAATCTCGAAAACTATGACACTAGCGGCCTATTTGCAGCTGCAGAATCCTTCATTTTGTTTACAACATGTTTATGAGATTATGGTTTCACGCCCAGCACCTATTAGTGATCATACGAGGATTAAAAAAACAACTCATATAGTTTCGATCAATGAAAACGAGGTCAACGATTTCTTTGTGAACAATCCACAGCCACTTCTTAGTACATAAAGGAGTATGTTACAACTCTTATCCGAAATTCAAAAATACTTCCGAAGATACAACCACTGAAGAAGGTATCTACGGAGAAGTAAAGGGTTGTATAGAAAAATATGAACTTCAAATCGAAAATCTTTGCGGCTTAACAGACGGTGTCACCTGCAATGACAGGAGAACAATGGATTTGTGGCTTTAATGCGCAATAGCATCACACATACAATCATAATGCATCACTGTATTATTCATCAAGAACAGCTGTGTGCAAAAGTACTTGACCTGAAACACGTGATGGATAAGGTAGTGTGGACAGTTAATTTTATCCGTGCGAGAGCACTTAATCACAGGCAGTTCCAGGTCTTCCTGACTGATATCGGCTCAGATCATGAAGACATCGTGTACTTCAGTCGCGTTCGATGGCTCAGCAGAGCAGCCACACTGAAACGATTCTATTCGTAGCTCGAAGAAGTAAAGATTTATCTTCAAAACAAAGGCCAAGACACTTGTTTCCTTCTGATGAGCAGTGGTTGCTTGCTCTGGCTTTCCTAATTGTCTTTCTGATCTTAACTTAAAACTTCAAGGGAAAGATCAACTATGCACGCAGTTATATGAACATGTTCAAGCTGTCATGAAGAAGCTCTTATTGTTGGAAAAGCAGCTGGAACAGAAGCAGTTGGTTCATTGGGAGACCTTTGCAAGAAATCAAGAGTCATTGTGTTGTTGTTGCAAAGGTTGAGGAAAGTTTGATTAGAGTTTCGTAGACCTCAAATCGCAAATTCCCAGCAAAGTGTTCCAAAATCCATTTGATGTTGAAATTGAAAACGCAGAACGGACCCTCTACAGTTACAGTTAAGTGAGCTGCAAAGTTGTTCTCATCTAAAAACGGCATACAATGCCATATGAATCAATTGGATTTTAAAAAAAGTATCTTACAGCCAACCAATGCCCAAACCTTACTAAATTAGCTCTTCAAAACATTTCTTTATTCGGTAGTACGCTTCTAAAATACTAGCTAACACTGTGCAAACAGAAAAAATGTCAGACATCTCATTAATTAGATTTTCAGAGTACCTAAATATTGTACTCGCAAGTGAAATAGTGAGTTTTTTTTTAAATAAATGAACCATGTTTAAATGTGTCACTTTACTTTTCTTTTGGCCAGCTATGGTTACGAAAATACTAAACATGGCCCTCCACAAAATTATGTTGGACAGGCCTGAACTAGACCTGAGAAAAAAGTCAAACAGGTCCATAAAATTAGTCTATGGGCATTCTTTCCCTGCCCTACCGGTAGTGAACCTAGGAACGTCGCCTCTTCCCGATACTTCACGCGGGCAGGCGTGGCACAAATTCGTGTGATTCCATACCAGCAGTACGCGAAAGGTCTCCCGAGAATATTTTTTCGTTTTCAGGGCTAATGTTCAGAGAAATCTAAGATGTTTGAAACATGTCTAATAGGTGCGTAGAATTACCAATGTTGGGATTGTGTAAATGTACCAGCATCTCCCTACCCAATTATAACATCCACCATCAATTTTTTCAACTATAAAATTTTCTTCAAAAATGATCAGAGTCCTCTGAAAAAAAAAGGGTTTTTGTCTTAGGCTTTTTTCTCAGCCGCCACTTTTGCGTCCTTGGCGTAGTAGCAACTTTGTGTAAAAATGTCATAGACATTCCAGCAGTACTTCTCAAAGCATAGGCGGTTATAAGAAGCGGGCAGACAGACAGACCGACGGAAATGAGTGACACGGTTTTTCGTGATGTAAAGGGTGGGGCAGAAAGACCTCCCCGATTTGGAAACCGTCAAGCAACGCCAATGGGGGGATAGCGCAGCCGAGGATATACCATTCGACGTGTCTATTCCTGATTCCTGCCATTTTTAGTATCAACAGTACCAGCCCACACAGTTCGTCGTTCTAATGGCACTTCTGCAAGAAATGTTTCCTGGACACGTCGTGTCATTTGACCCCATGTGATTTTTTCTTTAGGGCCAGCTGAAGGAAAAAGTCTACCTACATCACCAAACTTTAGACGACGCTCTCAAGGAGACGATAATCCAGGAAATTGCTGCCATTCTACCTAACATGATAGAAAATTATTGAGAGAGGCTCACTCAGTATATCAACAATGGAGGCGAAGACTTGAGTGATGTCATTTTCAAAATGCATTTACTTAAAATCGCATTTTAGTTGCTTGTAAAAAAATAAAGTTTATTTTCTATATCTTGGTTAGTTCAGTTTTTATCGGCTCTCTAAATCGGGGAAGTCTTTTTGCCCCACCTGTACATGTCATATAACATAGAAAAAACATAATATCTCATTTTTGAAAATGATGACAGTGTAATCCCATTCTTGGATACCAACAAAAAAATATGTCACAGTGAAGTTGTGACCGTCATTCTTTCTGCATGAGTGCTGGATCACTAGCCTTGCGAATCGGTCTGAGGGGTATCGCGGTTGCTTTAGCCAAGGATATGACCGACAGAAATGAATGACTGAATACAATAATAACTAATATATTGGTATCCGGTAAATCTATCTCTTTCACAGTGGAAATTAAAATAAACAATGGTTTAAGCAACTTAATGTGTAGAACTATACAGCCAGTCATTTTCTCTTTTAGATTTGTATGTGTAAATAAAAAGGTAATTCACTCCAAACAACATAACCGCTGGATAAACTGAGATGCAAAAGTGTCAAGCCATAAACTGTAATGTGCTGAGAATATAATAACAAATATAGACTAACACATTTCATTTTTTTATTGTTGGATTTGCAAATTATTTATATGATTGCGACTACATGAATGAGAGTTCTATTTAACAGTTTCAAAAGTTTATGTTGATGGAACAACATCATTAATCCACTTTAGATATGCAGGATTTCCATTTTGGATTGGAAGTGATATAACTTCGCATACAGTATATGGATGATTTGCCTTCACAAACTCTGTTAATTGATTCACTTTAGACGTCCTCGTCTTGATCATCATCAGGACCTCTGAATCTTCATTAATTTTGTTTTCCCATTCGTATACAGATGTTATACCTGGGACAATATTAACACAAGCAGCTAGCTTTTTTTCCACTATGCCATGGGCGATTTTCTTAGCTACTTCTTGTGAAGGAGCAGTGACATAAGCCACCGAGTGTTCTCCACTGCAATAGGAATTTGTACCACTCAGCAAGATATCTTCTGACATATCTTTGGCAGTTACTGTTGCAGAGTATCTTCGAAACAATCTATCAACAAATAAGCTAATCAAGCAACAAGTAGGGGTAATTGATTGAAGCATCATACCCCAAAAGTAAAGTGGGTAAAAGCAATCCTTTAGTGTTTAGAAGCATAGATATTTTCTGCAGTTAATCTTAATATATAGGATATATGTATCCACTGTTTTTTCCAGTTGTATCCACAAGTTTTCTCTGTGAAGTGTGAACTCACAACACGCACAAAACAAAACATATACACTGAAGAAGGTTTAATTCCATGCTATTCAATGGCGACACGGTGACTTGTGTGGTTGTCAGCGGCCATTTTTTGAGGGTGCGACATGGTTGTCAGAATGTGTATTAATAACCTGCAACATTGCCAGCTCTACATATAAATCTGAGATTGCTATACTTTTATACTTAAAAATTTGGTGGGACATGGGAGATTTTATAACAGCATGTGCCATTAACATTTTGAGCTATCTCGACGAATAAGTGCTTTTTTGTATGTTAAAATAGCAACGTCAATAACACAAGTTGTTATAAGATCACTTTACTTACTAATCTGGAAAGGTTCAAAAGTAAAAACATATATTGCAAATACCTAAATATATGTTCATTATATCAATCGGACACATTTTTCTACAAACAAAGCAGTATTCACATCATTTTGGTCCAGATGTTTTCATTCTCCAGCCTTTGTTTGCACCTGCATAAATAAAAAATTAGCAAACAATGGAATTGTGTTGATATGTTACTACAATTTCAGATTTTATTTTTTAAAAGAACAATATACGTATTATTGTACATGGGTACCCACAGTAATTTTTCTCAGAGGTGCTCATCATCATCAAGAGATAACTTTTTGTGAAATTGTATATGCCCCCAAAATTTTTTGATGAGGAGAGGCAGCAATTTTCTCAGGATGGGACAAATCCTAAAAAAATCTCAAAGTTGTAGTCTAGTTGTAGGCTAAATATGCAAGCATTAAAGTCAAAGCAGATTCACAGAAGAGACCATGGCCCCTCTGACACCACCCTGTGGGCACCCATGTTATTGTTCAATAACAACATGTGGCTTCGATTTCATTGCAACTATAGTGACCTTTGCATATCAACCTTGCTGCTCTGAAAATAGCTTATTTAAAATATAGTATGGAAACTAATTTGGACAAAAAGCAGTACAAATCATCACTGGTTATCGAGTCATATAAAAACTTACAAATGTTATGGTCTGCAAAAATCCTTCAGACCTGTGTCTTTTGGTTAGATTAGAAGTGTTTTTCAAGGTTCTGATAGCTCTCAGGACCTCAAGGGTTGACAGCGGTAGCTGTTGAACTTCTCGTAGCGCTCCACTGTTCAAAAAGTGATGTGGAGATACAAACAGGTATGATCTTCAAATATTACATTTCTAAAATGAGTAACCGGTGCATCTATGATCTTCCTCGGGATCTGCCAAAGCCTGGCTACTGACTGGGATCATTTGGATAAACTTAAAAAAAATAGTTTTGATTTGGAGTTTTTTTTTCTATTCGTCATTGTCTGTCAGAGCGGTCCGTTTATATATATATATATACAGGGTGACTTTGAAGTTGAGTCATTAATGTTCAGATAATGATTGTAGAAGGAAGATAAACCAAAATATGTGTGTAAAAATAAAAAAAAAAATAAAAAAAATTTTTTACCTTGTTTTATAAAGTATCCTCCCGACAAGTATTTCAGTGCGGACCTGTATTTGATCGTGAGGTCTCCTGTGAGGTCTTAAGTCACTTGATTCACGAGCCCGTTGTACTACATTAACAAAGGCACGAGGGGTTGGTTGCACTCGATTGGGAAACCGATCCGCATAAACATGTGCCATTTTTTATTTCGTTTGAGCCACGCAACAGACACTATTCACACGCCTTACCGACTGACACTAACTGTATGTATAACTGAACTGAAGAAAATAATTGTAAAACATCGTTCCAAATTCTTTCGCTTTTTTGTTTCCGATGCGATGAACCGAGGCGGATTATATCCGTTGTTGCCAAACACGAGCACATGATATTACGAGTATTATTGAACAGGGCGGTACTCAAACTTCCAAAGGGCTATAACTTTGTTACTTTAATTTTACCAGAAAAATGGTAAAGGAAAAAAACATTTCTTTTGATCAGATCTACTCACTGTTAAAATAAATGACTCAACTTCGAAGTCACCCTGTATATTTGTATGATCAACGTTACTGGACCAACTATAGCTTACAGACAACCTTAGACCATATAAAATTAACAGGAATAATTAAGTATATAGAGTTGAAACATTACGTATCAAGTTATAACACTTCAAGTACCTTCAGAGGGGAAACCTTTTTTTTCTAATACAAATCTTCCTATACTACGAGAACGTTATGAAACCAAGCATGAGACCATTCTACATAGAAAATGCCATAGCGTCTAGACGTTGTTGTACCATAGAATGTTGCCAATTTTGGAGTGTCGTCTGAGAAATCTTGGCGCGAAGACAGCGGGCAAGTGAGGTTACTTGCATAAGAGCCTGAACGTATTCCATTCGTATATCGCTTTCAGAATGAGTAAACGTACGAGGTTGATTTAACAGTTAGTGCAGAATCGGAAAAATGAAGGTACGTATAAATATTTCATATCGGTTAATCTTAAGGAGGTACATCATGTTTTACAAAGTGCTTATAATAAAAAATATTACGTTACCTTATTTTATTCTACACACTGTTAAATTCAATGTTGCCCATCCCAAAAAAGGGATCTCAGACCGACCCTTACACCTACAGGCCTATAGCTCTGCTTTCTGTTTTAAGTAAGGTGATGGAGAGGTCCATAAATCACGAGCATCTGGACTACCTCGAACGTCACGGCTTGATTAGCGACAGGCACCAGGCAGTATGGTTTCCGGCACCAACGATCCACAGGGGATCTCCTAGCTTACGTCACTCTATTGTGTCAGTCTTATGATGAGGCTCATGTCGTTGCCCTTGACATCACGAAAGCGTTCGATTAGCTGTGGCACGCTGCCCTCTTAAGCAAACTTCGATTCTATGGCCTCCCAGAAAAGGTTTGCAGATGGGTGGCTGACTTTATCTCTGGCCGTAAGATATCCGTCGTAATTGACGGGTTCTCCTCTTCATCCCACAACGTCAACGCGGGTGTTCCCCAGGGATCGGTCTTGGCTCCGACACTGTTTCTCTTACATATCAACAACCTCCTTTCCTGCGCGATCAACCCAATCCACAGCTTCGCTGATGACAGCACTATACATGCAGGAATTCAGAGTGACAAGCCGATATCTGCCGCTGAGTTGGAAAAAAGAAGACTAGCGATGACTTCCTCTCTGACAAGAGACCTGGAGGGTATCACTGCTTGGGGACGCAACAATCTTGTACAGTTCAATGCTTCCAAAACGCAGTACTATACTTTGACGAACAAAAAGCGCCCCTGTGCGTACCCGGTTTCGATGGATGATCGAGTTCTGCCAAAGAGCCATTCATTTCGGCTGGTCGGAGTCCAGATCATCGGGGACCTGATCTGACACGAACACATCTCGTCAATAGCTGCTGGGAAAAAGCTAGGCTATTTGTTTAGGGCTAAGAAGTACTTTTCTCCGCATGACCTTCTTACTCTATACACGGCCCAGATAAGGCCTAGCCTCGAGTATTGCTCACACGTTTGGGGTGCTGCCGCCCCGACTACATTATCCAAGCTCGATTCTGTCTAGAGGAGGGCGGTCCGACTGATCGATGACTCTTCTCTAACAGACAGTCTCGGGATTCTTTCGCACCGGCGGGCTGTCGGCGATCTAGCTCTTTTCTACCGTTACACCAACGGGCTTTGCTCCTCAGAGCTCTCTTCCATGATGCCGTCGCGCGATGTGCCTGCCAGACAGACCCGCATGACTTTGGCGTCCCATCCTAACCGTGTCGAACTTCTTACATCCAGAACCGGCCGATACGACCGCTCCTTTGTCCCGAGGGTGTCGAGATGGTGGAACAATCTACAAAAGGAAGCTTTTCCCAGTTCTATTAACCTTAGGCAGTTCAAAAATCTTATTAATAAAATTTCTTTGGGATCATCATAGCAGCCGCGGTGTTCCGGCATTTAGGCTTCTGCCTGCGCGGCTGCTTCGTTATAAAAAAAATCCCTTGATTGACTTTTATTAATATACGCTGATAACATAATCTCATTTAAGGCTAACCGAAGATGTCTATCGAACCGCAAAAGTAGCCAAGGTGATTTTACTAATTAACAATGGCAAAGGCTCAGAATTTAAAGGGCAGAGCTTAGCAGAAATCGATGTGGGAGATGACATCATAGATGACGAAAAAGTTTAAGAAGAAAATGTTGACGGAGAAAATGTTGAACAAGAAAATGTTGAAGGAGAGAATGTTGAAAAAGTTAATATGGAATCCCCTACAACAAAAGATGTGTGTGAGACGAAAGATGAAGAAGAGAGTGAAATCAACTCTAGGAAAAAGAAAAAGAAAGATAACCGTAAGCGTTGGGAACATAAGGACAAGCAATTAGTGTTGAAGCATTTCAAAAACCATGTTGTTAAGAACAAAGCAGCTCCAAGAAAAAAGGAATGCCTGGGCTTCATTGATGAGAACCCCATATTCTCTCCATCGGACTGGACTCGAATTAAAACTCTTGTTTTCAATACGTATAGGTACAAATGATACATTCTTATACCCCATAAGACATTTATTGTGATTAGCTTCTATTCTCAAGAGTATTAATAAAATGACTGAAATTCTACATCGAGTACCAATTCCTTAAAACCTTGTAAGTTGTGTGTACAGAAGATCCCGCATGCATCGAAAATGCCCTTAATATGCGGTGTGCGCTATTGCTAAATTCCAGGTACAATAAAGTTGGTAGTATATGGCATAAAGTAATGAAATCATATACACGTCGAAGACAGATATGCGCGCCACCACAACGGGAATCTCTTGAACTTAATCTGTATAAACTGACAATTTGGGCCGATTTTTCAGGCCACCTCCAAATTTCGTCTATATCATCACGCCACCTAGGTGGCCACTTTTATATAGGAAAACGTTACCAGACCATTTTAGTGGTCTGGTAACGTCGAATTTGGATAGATACAATATACGTTATTAGACCTAGGTGGCGTGATGATATAGACGAAATTTTGAGGTGGCCTGAAAAATTGGCCCAAATTGTCAGTTCATACAGATTAAGTTCAAGAGATTCCCGTTGTGGTGGCGCACATATCTGTCTTCGAGGGCAGCGTGCCACAGCTGATCGAACGCTTTCCTGATGTCAAGAGCAACGACATGAGCCTCACCATAATACTGGATGAGTTTACTCCACAATTGAGTGACGTAAGCTAGGAGGTCCCCTGTGGATCGTTGGTGCCGGAAACCATACTGCCTGTCGCTAATCAAGCCGTGAAGTTCGAGGTAGTCCAGAAGCTCGCGATTTATGCACCTCTCCATCACCTTACTTAAAACAGAAAGCAGAGCTATAGGCCTGTAGTTGTAAGGGTCGGTCTTAGATCCTTTTTTTGGGATGGGTTTGACATGAGCAAATTTCCAGTTTTCTGGGAAGGTGCCGGATTCATAAGATATCTAGAAGAGACGCGAAAGAACTGGAGCAAGCTCCGGTGCACACCTCTTCAGTACAATGGCAGGAATCAAGTCCGGACCAGAAGCTTTGTTGAAGGTTAAATATAATAATAATCACTATGTTATTTGCCTTATGGGTGAATTAACAGTACACTTCACAGGTGGTGAAACAGAACCAGCCGGTTTGGGGTTCTACAATAAAATCATAAGAAAAAACTGGAGGTATGTGGTATGGAGAATACCGATTAGATCCTCCATTGAAGCATATTCAACTAAAACTAAAATATAAATACAGGATGTCCCGTGACTCGATGGACATAGCTTAAGACTACATTCCTTGGTCTATTTTAAGTCGAAATTGCTTTATACACTTTGGCGAAAACACAATAGTTAAGAAGTTATGGGCAATATTGAATTTAACAGTGTGTCGAATAAAATAAGGTAACGTAATATTTTTTATTATAAGCACTTTGTAAAACTGATGAACCTCCTTGAGATTAACCGATATGAAATATTTACTTACCTTCATTTTTCCGATTCTGCACTAACTCTAAAATCAACCTCGTACGTTTACTCATTATGAGAGCGATATACGAATGGAATACGTTCAGGCACTTACGCAAGTAACCTCACTTGCCCGCCGTCTTCGCTCCAAGATTTCTCAGATGACGCTCCAAAATTGGCAACATTGTATGGTACAACAACGTCTAGACGCTATGGCATTTTGTATGTAGAATGGTCTCATGCTTGGTTTCATAACGTTCTCGTATTATAGGAAGATTTGTATTAGAAAAAAAAAGTTTCCCCTCTGAAGGTGCTTGAAGTGTTATAACTTGATACGTAATGTTTCAACTCTATATACTTAATTATTCCTGTTAATTCTATATGGTCTAAGGTTGTCTGTAAGCTATAGTTGGTCCAGTAACGTTGATTATATATATATATATGTATAAATAAACGGAAAGAAGGATAACTCGATGCATTAGAGATTTTTCCGCGAGATCCCGTAGTGAACCGGAGCGGGAACAGATGGAATTTCCCCTTCATCTCGAAGTTTTAACAGTTTCAAGTTACACCGGGAGTAGTTAGATGGCGCATGTTGCCCAAAATGTATGTTTTGAGCTCCTTGATAAAGTTCGCTGCCTTGTTTGAATCTGAAATAAAAAGACCGATCGTCTTTTTGTGCAGTGTACATATATATCAATTATTTGATATGATAAGTGCGGTTCATATATCTCCTCCCTCGTCATTTAAAATCAGGTGGACGTGTTCCTCCATTTATGATTTAATAATTTAACTCAATTTTCAGCACTGCGAAGACACATTTTCAATTGAGATGCCTATTTTTTAAACGACATTGACATAAGACCTGTCACCCGCTAGTACCTCACAGACGTTAGGCAGGTATAGTCAACGCCAAACAAAGTGGCGTGCACATCATCACGATAAAAATTCCCCGACCTAATGCCTAGGTTTCTATCACAAACAATTGCTCTATTGCAGTTTCATATTAATGTGATATATAAATTGTAAAATGGTCATTACTCTCTTATTATGGTTAATAGTCATATAAACATTGTTATTAAAATATCACATAAGTTGCTTTCTGATAAATTTAGACGCATTATGCATTATGCGAAATAAAATGTTTTGCAAACGCTCCAATCACTTATCGACATGTAAACGCACTAAACCGATTTCGCATCGTTGACACATTGTCACCTTGAAACTTATTTAAACTGGGAACTGACATTTGTATTAATTTTGACACTGAATCAATTTGTGGCATTTCAAATCTTTATAAATCCTTTGGCCCCGCATACTGTAAATCAACAACTGTTTGTTTCAAAACAAAATTATTCATTTTACGAGTAGATAAAGGCAATTTTGGTATATAAAGATGCCCAAACAGTTAAATAGTCGGTGTAAGGAACTCGTGGCCTCGTTAATGCACTACTTTGAGCAAGAAAGGGACAACGACGGGCCTTTGTTGCCTTTAAATGCTGTTCAAGAGGTAGGTTACTAATAATTATATGTAATGTATATTAATAATAGTGAAATTTTATTTCATTTTTTGTAGCGTGTTGCTACTGCTTTAAAAATTAGTTTAAGGACAGTTAGTCGTATTTCCGAGGGTGTGAAAAGTGAAGCAAATTTAGAATCGCCCAAGAAAAAGCGGAGTTATATTAAACGCGTAACCAACACAGCGACATTGGATACAAGTGCCATTCGAGAAGTGATCTATAATATGTATCACAAAAGTAAGATCTTATTATAATAACTTATCAGAAATTTGCATTAATTTGTTAACTAAATTATAATGTCATATTACACATGGTTTCAGAAGAACAAGTTACGATACAAACTTTATGGTCTCGATTAAGAGATAGGGCATTATTTGATGGTAGTGCCACGTCTTTAAGGCGGTTGCTTAGAGATGTTGGATTTAAGTGGCTTAAGGACAATCCGCGACGAGGGCTCATGGAACTACCAAGTATAGCTTTGAAAAGGGTGGAATTTCTAAGGCAATACAATCAAGCCAAGGTTGAGGCCTTATACCAGTTTGTCTTCCTCGATGAAACTTGGATATTTCAAAATGGGACCATAGGTCGCTCTTGGCAAAATGGAAACCAAAAAAGCGTGAAAGCTATTAAAACAGATGGTAAAAGGTATGTACTTTTACACAATTTGCACTATAAAATTTAAAACTAATATATTTTAGATACATTATATTACATGCTGGAAATGAAAATGGGTTTATTGAGGGTAGTGAAGCGATATTTTCTTCGAAAACAAAATTGAGTGATTACCATGGAGAGATGAACCAGGACAATTTTTTGAAATGGTTTCAACATCAGTTATTAGAAAAATTGGAGAGTCCATCTATGATTATACTGGATAACGCCCCTTATCACAGCATGATATTGAACAAAGTGCCCAACAATGCATGGACAAAAAAAAATATCCAAGACTGGTTGACAAATCAAAACATACCATTTTTAAACACAATGTTTAAAACAGAGCTATTGAGTATTGTTGCTCGGTACATAATGCTTCTTAATTATATATATTTTGGTCGACAGTTTATATTTCTTTTGTTTATTCCTATTCTTAAAATAACTGCTTTTTTAGAAACAAACCACCTAAAATATACGTGATTGATGAATTGGCGGAACAACATGGGCACAAAATTCTTCGTCTGCCTCCTTACCATTGTATATTTAACCCTGTTGAGTTAATTTGGGGCATAGCAAAAGGTTACTATAACAGACATATTGGTAGAGATGGTAACAGTGAAAAAGACTGTTCGGATATGTGGAACGAGGCTCTACAAACGGTTACCCCAGACATGTGGAAAAATAGTGTTCGACATACTGAGCAAGAAATTTTTAAATGGTATGAAAGAGAACGAATTTTTGATCGACCAGACATCGAACCTTTAATAATCAACTTTGAGAGTGATGAAGATTCAGATTCAGACAGCGCTGAA